TCTAGGCCCAGTGCCTCTGTTTATATATCATTAAAAAACAATACTTTGCTCTCTCCCAGACTGGGCCTGTATCCTTTAATGCTCATTAACCCTCCTCTAGCCCACAGGCCTCTAGGATAATTAGTGCATCCGACCAAACATTACATTCCTATTCATTTGCATTTAAAAAAACTCAAGTTGCATAAAACTCCTTGAACTAAACAAAGTTGTTTTCTGCCCTATCCCTCTGTCTTCATTCCCATCACCTGCACATACACCGCTGTATTCTGTTTCCTTTATACAACTCCTCTTCTACTTCTATCCTTTCATTCACATTGCTCCATTTTCCCATTCTTTTCCTTCATGTAGTGTGAATGTTATAATGAGGTGTGGAAGTGTGGAGCTCTGAGGGCGGCTCACAGGAGGATTCAGCTGCTCCCCCATACAGTAGATTCAAGTTTTTATCTGTGGAGGTGAGAGGTCACATCCAGAGAGACAACTGTACACATCATGTCCAAATGAGAGGCTTTATTGAAACACTCAATTCAACATTTCTGTTTTATTAACTTATTTTATCATGATTCAGTGATTATGTCTATAGCGGAGTAAATATATGTTGGGCTAAAGTTTTCATTTACGAATACTGGATGTTGTTGTGGGCAGCGTGGTGGAACAGTGGTTATTACTGTTGCCTCACAGCAAGAATGTTCCGTTCCAGGTTTGAGCCTCAGCCGAGCTCATGCTTTTCTGTGCGGCATTCACATGTTCTCCCTGGGTAATCCGGCTTCCTCCTACAGTCCAAAAGACATGCAGCTTGGGTTGATTGATGACTTTAAACTGCCCGTAGGAGTGGCTGTGAGTATGTGTGGTTGTTTGTCTACATGTCAGCCCTGTGACAGACTGGCGACCTGTCCAGGATGTATCCCGCCTCTCGCCCAATGTCAGCTGGGCTGGGCTACAGCCATCCCGCGGCCCTATTCAGTATAGATAATGAATGGATCGATGTTGTTGTTGTTGATAAAAAGTTAAAGGAAGCAAATGAGGTAGTAGTGTGATGTTATTAAGTATACAGTGACAAAGTACAAGCATGGGAGGTCAGGGTGATTGGCTGCATCAACCAAACATTAGATTTAAAATAGGAGACCAGTAATTGCTTCCCATCTCCCAACAAAAGCCAATTTTTTTTTAACCATAACGAACAATTAATTAACCAAATGGTTATTATTGTAACCATAACCCCAAATGCATCATAATAACAAAATAGTAGTTTTAACCCAAACTGTGACCTTTCCCTAGGCCTACCCTTTCCCTAGGTCATTTTCTGTGTAAACCTAATCCATCTTTACCCATAGTGGTGTCAGGCAAAAGTGATGTGTAATTATTTTAGAAGGCACTGACAAATTATGTCATCCTGCTCATAAGGCATGTGTTGTTCAGGAGGATTGTTAGAAAATATGAATTTTCTTGTTTAACTTGGGATCAAATCAAATCAGATTTATTTATATAGTGCTTTAAAAACAATATCCAGTTGACCAAAGTACTTTACATAGGCAGAATAAAATTACGGGAGAATTATTGGGTGACAGTTAGGGGTAAGACTTTATTGATCCCACAATGGGGAAATTCCAGTGTTCCAGCAGCATTACAGAGCAAACAACAAAACACCACAGGGACCTCCAAGAAGCAAATCTAAACACAAGACAAAACATAGCACTTGAGAGAAATCAAGAACAAGAATATTACTCCCACAATTAATTCCACAATTGGGAAAAACTGCATATATCAACAGCAGTAGAGACTAAACAACAGACACCATAAGAACAGCAGACACCGCAAGGAAAACAAAAGAAAAGCAAATCAAGAATACCAAAAACAAGACAGTACAAGCATTTCAGAGAAATCAGGAACAAGATGACGCTCCAACAATCAGTCCAAGAGACAGAGCAGTCAGTGGTCAAAGGGGGAGGAGGCGGAAGTGTATGCATTCCTGGCATTAGCATACAGTAGGTCCAGAGTTTTTATTGTCCTTTGTGTGGCAATTAACACACTGGGTGAAGTTTGGGAGGGTGGCAGAGAGGGGGGAGGGAGGCATGGTTAAGGTCCCCCAAGATGAGGATTAGAGCCTGTGGGTGTTGTGTCTGCTGCCGAGACACTGTGCTTTGCATGCTCCTGCACGCAGCAGCAGCATCGGGCGAGGGATTAAAACCATCACCACAGACCACAGAATCAGGAGTGTCAGTGAAACACAGAAGAAGAAGGCTGCTCTTCCTGTACACCCATTGCAGTTCTATCATCTTCATACACATCAACGTACTGGTACAGTACCTGGTGACATCTTCTTAATAGTTTCATTAATTATGTTTCTCTGCTAATTTATTCAGGGTTTTTTTTTCTTTAATTTTTCATCTATCGGTACAATATGTATTGAAATAGAAGGACAGAATGTGAACTTATTCAAAAATGCTTTTGAGTGGTGAATCTATAACATGATATTTTTATGAATGTCAACATTTGTAGGCTGTGCTTGTTGATCTGCAACTGAAATAATGGGAACCTGCCAGTTAAGACAGATTTCCTATTCCCATCCACCAAATATGATGGAAGCTCAAAATGGCTTCTGTCAGAATAAGGCCAATATGTAGAAAAATCAACAACTCTTCTGTAAGGTTCAAGACCTGTGCTTCTGTGTATATGCCCCTATTCTTCACTGACCATATCTTTGTGTGAGTGTAGTTTGGTGCCCATGATGGCTTTGGCCGTACCCCAGATTCTGGCAGTAGTTCAGGAACTGTTATGACTGAGACAGTCACACCATCTGTTCAGAGCTGATTTCATACCCATCTATTCATTCATGACCTTAACTGGCCTGTGAATGGAGAAATGGTCATTCTGGACACATACTCTGCAATCAAGAACAAACCTGATCAGTGCTATTTCTTGTTGACTTTGTTACTTTGTCCTGTAGATCAAAACAGGCCTCCTTACCCTCCTTTTATTGGTCACCACTGTGCAGAATCTGGTTCCTAAATGCATGACAAACATAAGATGACCAACCCCATATTCACAATATCTTGGTTTTGTCAGTGCCCAGTCTGTACTGGAAACCTGAACCTTTCTATATTTTTATGCATACAGGTACATGAAAGGTACATGCAGCTACTTCCTGAGTGGTTAAGTTTAGGACCAAATGACTAAGGAAGGTGACACGACACTGCTATTAATTGCTTCTTTGCACAAGCATAAAACAGATCAGGTAGGCAGCACAGATCGGGTAGTCGCATGCTTCACTTTTGCATAGTGGTGATGTGTTTTCCATTTTTATATGGGCTACAGTTTGTGGAATAGACTCATGTAGCATATCGCAAACTCTTACAGATGCAAGCACAGTATGAGGACTACTTGGAAATCAGGCCCACAGTTCACACAAGGTATCATGTGGCTAGGCTCCTTTTCTTTACTCAGTATTCCATTAATGTACATCCATACACCCCTCAGTTTATACCCACAATCCCTATCTGCCTAGCTTCTCTTTGTACGGCAAAATTCTAAACCCAAAATATGCTGTACATTTGGAAATAAGTACTTTGAATTCCCATCACTATGAGTAATGAGCTGCTGTGAGTGGGCAGTGAAAAGGAATAATGGGGTGAGAGTATGTGTATGTTTGTATGCGTTAGGATGGTGTTTTTGTGGGTGCACGTTAATGTGTTAGTGTATGAAATGCCTCCTGTGAGGCAGACTGATTTCTGTTCACAAACTGCATCCTGTCACAATCCAATTACATTTCCATTTCCTGCATGCCCTGTGGTCTTGTTGCTGTGAGCACTGTTCAAATACCGCAGGACAACTTACAGTAGGCCTCACTCTGCACACATGCATGCATTAACACAGAGATGCACACACACAAATTCTGACCATGTATAGTCACACTACCTCCGTCCATGAAACATTCATTCAGACAGGGTATTTACAACAGTTAAATATCTTTTCTGAGGGAAGCAGACTCCTCAGGGCTGTGAAAAACCAATAGGGGGAAGGCAAGAAAAGTGAAAAGATGGAAATGAAAGTCAGGAAAAGGACAATACTGCCCAGTGCTGACACAAACTTGTGATTTTGAAATAAATAAAATTCAATAAAACTGTATTGGAAACAGCATCAAGGGTGAGATTGGACAGAGCAAAAATAGAATAAAAGGTTTCATATTCAAAACTGTTTAGCCACCATCTCTCCCTCCTGCCTTGTTTTTAAAAAGAGATGGATGGCAGTACAATGACAGATGACAGAAGAATGTGTGAAAGAAAGCTTGTACATACTTCAAACAGCCTCGCTGCAATTAGCAATACAGTTCTTGCTTCTGTATTCAGAACCAAATCACATCTTCCGGTCAATTCCACCAACACCTAAGAGTTTGCCATCACACACACCTCTGCCCTAGTCACTTCCCAGCCAATCAAATAGGAAGTGATGATGGAAGGGTTTAACCTTTGTATATTATAAAACTGAATGAATGTATAAATGAATGACTGACTGAATGAATGACATGTGAGTTTGTACAATAAAGTCTTATTCCAGCTTTTCTCTTTTTCCCATCTTTTTCTTTCATGTCACTCAGAATAAGAAGCTTTCATCCCTGCTAGAGAATATTGATTCACCGGCCTGTCACGGTCATGCTCTGTTTTTTTTTCTCACACGTTTTGGCAGTTTCTTTTGAGCGATCAGACCAATCTGCTGCACCGGGAGCAATCCATTGCTGAAAAGGAGGGGTAAGGGTTAGGAAGCAATAATCCCTGTACCTTTCATCTACCCTCCCCTTCATGGGCCAGTGTATGTGTAGACATGAGGAGGTGAATGCAAAGGTTGTATGTATGTGTTTATGGCTGAGTCTGTGTGTGTGTGTATACATGTGAGGAGGGCAGAGCAATCCAGAGCAGCACCAGGTATGTCCCCCCCAATTCCTATCTTTGTTTGGTCTGCTCCATCTCCCCCCTCAGTGGTTTCTGCTGCAGTATAAGTCACAGCCTGCGCTGTTCTCTGACATCCACATGCGTGCACACACACGCACATACTCACCGAGGCAGACAGATATGCACACATACGAGCGCAAATCCTCTTACAACTCACCAGTGCCCAGAGCAGATTAAGGGGCTGCACATCTCGAATTGTATTCCAAATGTGTCACATTTGCAGGGGTCTCCTTCCTCTTCTTCTTGCACTTTGTCCTCTTCCTTCTGTTCACAACGGGACTTCTCGTCTGCACCTGCATCTGCTGCTTCTTCCTTCTCAGTTCCGTCTTCAGCCTCTGGCAACTGGCCCGTTTGCCTCTGCAGCTGAGATGACCAGGCAGCCAGCTTGAAGCAGAGGAAGAAACACAAAGACAGAGGTAGAGAAACGAGAGAGCAAAGGGGAAGAAAGAGGGTGAAAAGGTAGGAAGTGAAAGATTAATTCTGATCTGACAGCCCCTCTAGAGAAGGAAGGCAGGTGAGGAGGGGGGTCAGAACAGCCAGGCTTTGAAGAATTGGAGGTGGAGGAGGAAACAAGGAAGGTGGGGGGGAATAGAAGAGGATAGCACTTCAGTGAGGAGAAAAAGAGGAATACAAGAGGGGGGGAAGACAGAAAAAGAGCCGAGTGTTGACTATGAAGGCTCTGTTGCTGCTGGTCCTGCCCTGGCTCAGCCCGGCCAACTACACAGATAATTTGGGCAACCTGCACATCCTCTATTCTGAGCTGTGAGTACCAAACTCAGCCTCCACTTGAATCATTTTCACCAACACCACCCCATCTCTTTCCTCCATCAACAATCCATGCTATTTTAATTTGTTATTGTATGTCTTTCACTTTCATTTGTTTAGGTCCACTCTATTCATGCTTACAGATGTGTAACTTAGCAATGTTTACATATTGATCATCGCTTGATGATGTGACAATGTTCACTATGGTCCTCGGTTGCAGTGGAACTGGAGCACAGGTAGGGGCTTTGTGTTGTCCAGGATAGTTTGAATGCTACAGAGCAGCACCGCAGCGTGGCATCTTTTTCCGTCTTTAACAGCATGCGTGAGTGTATCTGTATTGATTTAAGAACAATGTCAGCGTGCATTTGCTCATGATTGTAACAGTGTGTATGTGTGAGTCTCGCTGAGCATATGGACAGTTGTACTGCAACAACGATGTGTTTATAGGAAAGTCCTTCACCTTAGCATTAAAAATTCATACCTGGCTACTCTTGGATCTCATGTGCTGTGTATACACTATACAATCTGTTAGAAGCTGTCATATAGTTTATACATAAAATTACCACCAGTACATAATGTAACATAACATAAAGCCACACCTAGTGCACATTCTCACAACCTTTTTTAAATTAATATTTCAACAGACAATGTTATATCACTATTAACACAGATGGACATCACTTTGGCTACTGGGTATTGAATTCTGGCACCATAGAAACAAACCACATGCTGTAACTGTGGGTTGATATTAGGGCTGCAGCTAATGATTCATTTTCTTTCTGACTGAGCTGTTTGCTACTTGTGTTATTATTATTATTATTATTATTATAATTAATTGTTTAAATAGTATATAGAGGTTGAAAATATTGGGAAAAACTCATCCCAATACCACAGAGCTCAGAATAGTGACAACATCTTTATACTGTGCTGCTTGTTTTGCCTGAGCAACAGTCCAAACTCAAATATATTCAGTTTACAGTGAGTTTAAAAAAGAGCACCACTCAAATATGGGAGATGGAATGTTTAGAATTTCTGCTTGAAAATAACTGATCATCACCATTGTTGTCAATTTACTGAAAATTTGATGAATTGTTTCAGGAACAAAACAGCAGACCTAATATTCTCTTTTGTCCTTTATACTACACTGCACATCACTTGTTTTTTCCTTGGCTCCTCTTGCTCTGAGTTGTGTTTTCTTTTCTGTATTGGCCTCCAGACTCTCATTGTGGTGGAGTTAATGTTGACTGTATCCAACAGCTCCATGTGAAGCCGGAGCTCTCTGATCTTCGAGCTGAGCTACCGCTCCTTTCTCCAGCCTGACGGAAATATCCCATTATACTGTATGAATACATGGAACAATAGAGCGCCTTATAAACTCCCTTGTTTCATTCTATGCTCTCTCCACTGAGTGGGGCTTTAGATCCTGGAGACACCAAGAGCACAAATTTGGCAGCAATAGATGCCAAAAGAGTAGAGGAGAGAAAGGGAAAGATGGAACTGGTTGGAAAAGGAGAGGTAGCTGAGATGAAATACTCACATTTGATTATATGTAGAAAGAATAGGAGAAGGAGAAAGATCTGAGAAGAATGGAACCAAAGTGAATGAGCAGTATAGCACAGAGAAGAGGGGAGATGAGAGGAGACAGGAGGCTATAAGGTCACTTCCTGCACCTGATTTCCATCTGGCTGTACGTACGGCTACCATGGTGATGGCACCCAGTACACCTACTGTATGTGGGCTAATTCAGTGAAGGCTTGACTGTATATAAAATGATCAGATTTCTCCCTGACACTGACAAAGCCAACTAAATGAGAAGTAGTGACAGTCAGACAGAGAGGGCACATGCACGAGTGTGTTTCTGTGCTTGTGACAGGGAGGGTTTTGCTGATTATGACATGACAGAGACAGAGACCAAGAGCAGACGAACACGGACATGGTGTTTTTCTGCCTGGCTGGAGGGCAGTGGCACACCATTTGTCTTTATCCATACTGCTGACAGGAGGCTCCCCCTGTGTGACCACCGTCTCTGCCTGCCTCGATTTTTTCTGCTTCATCTTCCTACTTATCTTTCTCCCTCAGTTTTTGTTCCTAATGTCTTTCAGTTTAATGTGATTACTAGAGTAAGTGTAGTGTGTGGGGAAAAATGTGGGTGGCTGCAATCTGTTGTACTCACACATAAATACGCGTGCACAGGGTTGTATACAGACTATTGTCTATACGCAGCTGGGGGACGAGTAAATGTGTCTCTGTGATGAAAAGCTTAATATAGTTACTGCTATTTTACTCTGTCAGCAGCAGCCAATACAAACACAGCACAGGCACACACAGGAGAGCACCTAGATTGTGATTTCTGTGCTCCTTACACACACCATTGCTCCTTCCTTTCCCCAGCCCACATGACCTCCCATGATAATCACAGGGCAGTGCTGTAGAACATTAATGATTAATCTGTGCTCATTTCTGGGCCTGCGCTGAGATGTATTAAACACTATGATTAGTTTAGCTTCCCTCCTTTCAGCCCTCATCCAGGAGGTGTTTGATCACTGAGAGCTGCGCACACTCCTGGTGCTCCAGACATCTTCAGCATGGCCGCATCCTAACAGGATTAGTCACCCGCCTGCCATGCACTCATTAGATCTGAACAACACCAGTCGTTTGTTAATGCCAAGTCCATCTCATGCCCTCTTCAGCCTCGTAGCTGCTCCAAGTGTTGGGCAGGCTTCACTAATTAGACTTTTGTTTAGATTAAATATTAATCCTTATTCTGCAGTGAGGCAGCTCTCCCTGTCTCATTGTATCCAGCAGGCCAGATATTCAGGAAGGGCCAGGGAGCGAGGAGCTCAGAGATACAAATCAGGCCAAGAGCCTAAATCCTAGCCTCTTGAACAACTTACACATCTTTCTAAAAAGATAACATTAAGTCAGCTTAATTACTTCTTTGTATGGTGTTTACACTATAAAGCATTTAGCGGATCCATCATGGGATCATGTATTCACTATGTGTGGACTGACAAAGCCTAAATGTAACAACAGCGTGCACTGCAGACACAGTCAAAGCTAAAAGGAAACACAAGACAAGGACACATGTCAAGGACACACTGAAGTTGTTCACAAACGAACATTCAAACGCATAGCTTTAATATTACGTTACACCTCACATAAAATAAATACGCACAGTACAACACACAAAAACGCACATTTGCCCAGGTGTAACTGAAGTGTCCATAATTCATGTGTAAATACCATGTCACTAAAGAATAGATGACTTATGTGCCTATTTGTTTACTAAAGAAAAGAAGTCAGTAGCAGGTTCAAGTTTCCTATCAGATGTTCAAACAAAAATACAGCATAGTAGCAAGGTGAACACATGGTGGTGTGAGCATGCAGAGAAGGTTTAAACATGGATTTGAGTTTGGTATGTTTTACAGTAAATGCATTTTTACTAAACCTGTACTGTATTTATCTTTTAGCAGCACAGTGCACCTTCATGTTTGTGCTGAGTCATTTACATTAAGTGCCCTACTTATACTGTAGCTGTGTGTTAACCTTTGCTTTGCTCAAAGTCTGTTTGCTGTTTAGGGTCTTTGAGGCTTGATGTGTTTTAATGTGGAATATTTTCTACAGTGTCCTGTCTACAAGCAGGATAATCTGTAGGAGGGCTTCCATATGAGAGGTCTGTAGAGTCAGCAGGGTGTAGCTGACAGCAGAGAGCAGAGCAGTGTGGAGTTAATCTCTCACATGAACACTACCCTAATGAGTGCAGGGCTATGGGTTGGACTCTCCAGTGCTGGCAGTGTTTCAGTCAGTTGTACCATGGCACGTGGAGGTAGAGAAACCAGAGCACTGCCAAAGGCTGGTGTGGCAGAGATTGAGGAATCTAGGCTAAAGGTACCAAGAGTAATGTAGGACAGCAGCCTGGTGGGGATTGTCGATGATCATGTATTGTAGCGTAACAGGAATTAATAGTTAGAGTTGTCTGCACTTTACTGAGCGAAAAGTACACGTAGTATTTCATTGCAGGGCTGGAAAATAGCCACTGGTGAGGTGCGCATACTATAGGGTGCATTAATGAGCCCAAGAGCAGAGAATAAATCAGTTGTAGTTCTTCTTGTGCTCTCTTCTCTATTGACAAATGGAGTGTGAGATTGCCTTGTTGGTTGAAACCTGACATTGACACAATAGGTGCTCCCCACTGTACAGTAAATGTCCTTCCAGTCTGATCATGCGGCCAGGGCCCTATCGATGATTGTACATATTGATGGACTAAAAAACCCTGAGTCAAAGTTTGGACTATTTCTAACAGACTGATTCAACTGACACTGTGGTGACCAGAAGGCCTCGGCTCTGTGCTGACACACAGTTGCATGCCAAACCTGCCAAGCCACCCCTCCCTGCACACAAGCACAATGGAAAGTTCAAACACAAAGACAGTATTATGTGCTGTGTGAGCCTCTGTACACATTCACTTTTGACTTCTGTGCACATTTATCTACAAAGAACTCACACCCAGCTACATCTTGCCTCCTACTTGAATTTAGCAGATCTGTTTTTGTAAATGAGCTCAGCCAGCAGAGCCTGTCCCCTCTTACTGTGGTCTCACCACCTCCTCATGCAGCAGATGGGACTACCCTTCGCAGCACGTGGATCCAATCAACACACTAGCACGTCCTCTGATTAACACTCCTCTAGTTAATCATTACCTGGATTACTCTGTCTTTATGTCACTCTTTTCATTCTCTTTCATTATCATCCTGTCATTCTCTTCTCCCCCAGTCAAACTCGACTTTATGTGTTTGACATATGGCCCAAGTGTGTGATAAAGGAATAATCAATATACTAATCTAAGAAAGGAAAATGTTCATTTGAAGCCTTTATCAATATTCAGCTGGTTGACAATGCACCAGTAGTGCTGTTGTTAACTACAGTGCTTTGTGTTTGTGTGTGTTACAGACCACAGGTGCTCTGGGAAGCACCTGTGGTCTTTTCTCAGTCTGGTCTAAACCAAGTTACTCTCGTGTGCTAAAGCTTTATGGTCAGTTTTCTCTCGGGGGCTTCATCCCTGAATCAGTCAGATAGTATGGTGATAGTATGGTGAGATTAAGGCTTTTCTTACGATTTGTAAGGCTTTTAATTTAACACTTGGTTAAAGAAAATGTAAAAGTTTTTAGCTTATAATGTGGCAAGGATGAGCATGTTCCTGTGACCAAAATAGATCAGTGACTCAGAAGTTGGTGAATATTGCACTGTGCACATATTCATTAGTTCTCCAAGAATATACTCAACAGACACATGCTGCTACTTTTAGACTTCTCTCACATTCTTTGTCACACAAGGTAATTTTCCATATATCTCACACACACCCACTTGTATTCTACACATTTTTTAGTGAGAACAACCCACAGGCTACCTCCAGGCTCTCTGTGCAATTGGAAATTATTTCCTATTCGTTTGGGTTCTTACCTGTCAGGTGTTGCTGATGCATTTTCAAGAGTATCAGAAAGTTTGCTGCCGGAGTCAGAACTCATCAGGGACAAGTGTGTGCTTCTACTTTTGGGCGAGAAAGGAAGTGAAATGAGAAGAAGAGAAAGAAGGGCCCCTATGTAGAAGAGCTGCATAGGTCATTCAGCTGTGCCCCCACAAATGACACTGTGCATAAACAATGCTTTTGATCCCAAAAAATCTGCATGACTACAGTGTGGTATGGCATGTGAAGGCAGCCTTGTTTCTTTAATTTACTGCCTGACTCAGCTAGGGTCATTTGTGTTGTATGCAGAGTGTGGTCCAACACGTCGTCTGTTGCCATCAGGGAGCAGAGAGAGTATTTGGGTTAGGAAGGATAATCCACTCACCCCCAAAGAGGATTGGGGAATCTCACAGGCTTTGATGAGTTGTGAGCTGGTGTTTATTTCACATCACAAGAACAGAACTGTTTGTGTCACAGCCAGGGCACGCTGGCTCAACCACCATGTCACCGAAAGCATCGTGGCTAATATCTACTGCACTGGCGAGAGCAAAGCCAAAAAGGAAGGAGAGGTAGAAGAGGGAAGTGAAGAGTACTGGGGATGTTTTGGTGTCTTTGCTCCTTATCTCACCACAGATCTCGAGGTTTAGAGAGATGATGTGATAACTGAGGCTGTGCTGAGTGAGACAAGGATACTGCAGTTGTGTTGAGCACACTCTAAGCTCTATGATTAAAGGATAGCTTTGTACAAGCACTCAAACCTCCATCATTACACAAAAGAGAATATTTGTTTATGAGAAAAAGAAAAGAAGAAAGAGAAAAATATGGAGGGAGAGTGTATATTCATGGATGTCAAGCATTTCACCTCTCCAGTGTACAGACTTGCATATAATTGGCTTGGCTTACCTTGGCTCTAAAGTTGCAGGACCACCCTGGTGAGGGAGACAAGGCGTTTCTGTCATACTTCCCTGCCTGTAACCTCAAAAAGCACAGACTGTTGCCTTAACATTAAAACTCAAACATTAAAAATCTACATAGCTGAGATATGGCTGGTTTTAAGGCAACTCTTATCCCCTGGAGGAAGATGATTTTAATTAACAGGAGAAAAAGCCTTTAATAAACCAGTCACACACTGAACAATGGCTACGTGCTGTTGTCTCAGTGAATCTGTCTCTGCGGCTAATCAAAAACTACAGTTTGTATCCCTTGTTCCTGATAGTACGTCTGTTCTAAATATACTTTTCTTTGTTTTTTAATGAGCTTTATCTAAGCGCTATGATCACAGAACACGTAGTAGAAAGGAAACCCTTAAGATCTTCCATAGTCAAACTCAGTTTCTGTGTGTAGTGTGCATTCATTAATACTTGGACAGACATTTTTCTAAAATGTTGGGTGGTCTATAGTTTTATGTAAGTGAGTGAACATGTATTCAGCAATATTTGCCCATCTCCAGTGACTGACTGTGGTTTTCCATTTTCCACTACCCACGATGAAACAGAGCAATGTTGTCTTCTGTTCCATATACCGTAGTCAGCCCAGACCAGTTGGTCCATACAGGAACCTATCAAAAGGGAGTGTGTGTGCACACCTGGTATTACTCAAATTTAGGGGACTCAAAGCTGTTTACACACACCCTGTGGGGACCCGGCCGTGCTCGTGGAAACCAGATGCTGAGATGTTGGTTCCCACCATGTCAACTACTGAACTTTAGAGTGATGACTTGGTTTAAGGTTAGGGTAAGGGTAAGGATTAGACAAGTAGTGGTTAAGGTTAGGGTAAGTCTCCAGGAAATGAATGTAAATCCATATAAAATCCCCACGAGGAGCAAAAACAAAAGTGTCTATGTGTGTGTCTAAATAAATAGGAAGCTAATGTTTCAGTCAGAAACTCCAGTATAATCAGTTCTGCTGTACAAGGCTTTGGTAGGGAGTGAATCTGTATATAAATGATGATATTAACACCAGCTGGGAGGAGTATGTAGAGACACGTACACCTCACTGGAGCGTAGTGTTATGTAACAGAGCCCAGAGTAAGATCAATAGGTATGTCAGCTTTGTGTAATGCTGTATCTAACTGTGAGACTGACTCATGGCTACAAGTGAGATAGAATTTAGAACCCACTTCAGAATGAAATGATTTTCCCTGTGAAATATGGACATTTTGCAGGACCTCATCAGACAGCACTGTTACTGAGACAAAATTCTGGCACCCTAAGGCGACCAGTGTATTCCCTTGTCTCACATGCCTCTACCATGTGGTCACATGGTAGAGGCATGTGTTATTCCTTGTGTGGCCCTGCAAGGATTATTACCACCCTTTCTTACTTTTACTTAACTTCTCCTTTTTGGCTTAATATCCTCCATGAAAGATCCAGTGGTATCCCAGACCATCCTACAACTTGCACAGTAGAATGGATTGCACTCTTCTTATTTTTCTGAGCTACTGTTAAAGCAGAGCCTGGGTTTGATCCAGCTCATTAAAATCCAGTTAATGTTTGTGCTGATGGCTCCGCAGAGACAGCTGGAAAGACAAGCCAGTATTATTCCTGCATCTGACGAAGCATCACCTCAAACCCTTTATGGCTTACAGATGGAAGAAACTTCTCCAGCAATACAATAACCTGCTCTGTAGGGATCTCTTTAATGCAAGCACAAACCTTCCCAATTTAATATTGTAAGTGAAAAAAGCCTTTTATGGTGTGCATCATGTCATGTACACGCATGTGTACACAGGTGTGTATCTGAGTTTGTGTGTACAAGAGAGTGACTGTGTAAATGTGACATCTGAAACTTAGGAATTATATTTGCTTTTGTGAAAAAGAACTGTTTTATATTCAAATGTTGTGCCAGTTATCTGCTCTCTCTCCTCTTGAATGGGTGCTTTCTTACATTTGTGTTCAATCAGCTGTCAGGCTACTCACAGCCATAGAGAAAAATCTATCCTACATGTGAATACAGATGCTGTCACAAAAAAGGTGAACACCAGAAACACGTTTTTTTCTTCATGTGTAAATCTGATAATTCTGGTATATTCTGGGAGGTGCTCTGTGAATTTTAGGCAAGAGCATTGGGAAATATATCCTGCCACCATATGTGTAGTTGTGGCTTATTTTTCAGGCTTTAGAGAGGTGATGTTTGAATGTTAAGGTCAGATAAGTGGTGCGAGGTGGTCTCAAAGCAGAAGACAGAGGTCACAAAGCCCCAGGCTGCAGGAGATGCTGATATCTGCTCACATTAGTCTTGAGAATGTGACCTTTTCATTTGCTGTTAACATGACTTTGTTAACTTTCATTTTACTATGAAAAGTGATGCTGTCGTTGTTGCTTCAACATGTAGTTAATTTCTAAATTTAAGCACATGATTTCATTAATATCAATATCATTTCATCAGGATGTTTAGCATTAACTGCACCATGATGACTGTAATTTGACTTTGACCTCTTTGTGCAGGTGTAAAGGGGCCTCTCACTATGGGCTTTCAGCAGACAGGAAGCGACGTTCACAGGAGGGTGAATGCACCGACAGTACATCAGAACTCACCATCGCCACGCTGCCCAATGATGGCCCCACCTCCGCCGCTGTGGCCCTCCTGTCAGACGAGCCTGGTTTGGTCAACCCAGCCTTTGACCCCAGCATGGAGGAAAACAGCCAGTCGGGCAGCACAACCAGCCTGGCTGCACGCAGCAGCACCAAGAAGGGTGAGTGTGAGTGGGCGAAAGGATGTTAGTGTGCTCATGGGGGCCCATGCGTGCTGGATGATGTCACCCTAAAATTAAGTGACGAGAGAAAGAATGCTAGAGGGAGTGTGTATTTACCAGAATAACAGATTGAAACTCAACAGAGAGTAGAGAGCTTTCTAGTCACAGTTACATCATCTCCAAGTCAAAACCACAGGCCACTGATCTATACTCAAACATAAATTTACACCTGCAGATTCATAGCATATAATCCAGCTGCTTGTTCAAACTCAAATACAGTCTTTGTTCTCTCTAATGGTCTCTGATAGAAATTCTATTAACCAATTAGCTCTATTGCCTTGTTGTTTTTCACCAATCCATAAAATCTCTCTGTGGAAAACAATAGAGAAACAGAGAGAGAGAAAGTCGTTGAGCCAAGGAGACATGGAATTAGAGGTAGGTTAAATATAACAGATGTAAGCATTAATGGCCAGTGATGTGATCACAGCTCTTCCTCCAATTCTCCTACCTGTGAAACTAGGAATCAGTCACAAATGTTCCTCTCTGGCCCTCCATCGCTCTCCCCTCTATCCAGCCCCCAAATGGAGCATATAGGAAGTGGGGGCACCAAATGATGCTGCACCAGCAGTTTAAGTCCGGCTGAGCAGCCACCACCACCACCATGAGCGCCACTACTGCTGAACAAGCTGTCAGAGCCCGCAGAGGGAGGGAGCAGTGCTGCAGAGGCCCGCTGCCCCATCCTCAGTGCAGCCAGGCTGGGGCTGTTATCTCTCCACTGCAGCCTCCTGTAGTCTGTCTGTCTTTTCCTGAGAAGATATGTACCAGACAAGAGGCTCTGTCAGAGGTTTTTTTGGTCATAGTCACTAGTGTCCACAGTGCATTTTGCCACTGCTGCAGTTTCACAACCAAGTAACTATATTCAGCACGGATTGGGTTTGTTAAGTAAAAAGCCACTGTTTGAAAGTAGATCCTCTATCCACAAAAAAGATTCATTATATGAACTTGTTAACAGTTGCTAAACAAATAAAACATGGGAGAAAAGGATGGATTGGAGGTAAATAAACAGAAACCACTGTGGTGACACAGCATGTCTCAGTACGGGGGACACTGTCTGGAAACAGTTGAACCTACAATAGCTTAACCTTTGCCTAAAAGGTACACTGTGTATGATTTACATCTAGTGTAACCAAAATGCTCTGTGTGTGTCCTTAAGGTCTGACAAGGATGCAACTCCTTCCTTATTACTTATTTTATTTTTTATATTTGGAATTGTTTACATTCATGTTTACTAGGGGATTACTACAACCCCAAATCAGAAAAAGTGGGGACAGTATGTAAAATTAAAATTAAAACTATAAATAGTGATTTGGAAATTATGTGTCCTGCATTACATTGAAAACAATACAGCAGCACATTATTTGATGTGATACCTCATCAATTTAATTCTTTGTTCAAAATAAACACTTCATTCTGAAATAATAATAATGAAATAATGGTTGAAACAGGTGATGTCAACAGGGGACTGCATCATGATTTAGTACAAAAATGGCATCCAGGTAAGGCCTGGTCCTTTAGGAGCAAAGATGGGCCGAGGACCACCAGTTTGCCAACATATGTGAGAGAAAGTTATCGAAATGTTTAAAAACAATGTTCCTCAAAGAAAGATAGGAAGGGATTTGGATATGTCACCCACTGCAGTGCAGAACATAATTAAAAGATTCAAGGGAACTGGAGGGTTTTTAGTGTGTAAAGGGCAAAGTGCACAAGCCTAAGGTGGATGACATGTTCTCTGATCCCTCAGACGGCACCGCATCAAGAATCGTCACTCTTCTATAAGCGATATAACCACATGGGCTCGGGATGACTTTGGCACACCTGGGCTAGGCACTATAATATCTAGTTGTGTCCATAAATGCTACTTAAAACTGTACCGTGCTAAAAGGAAGTCCTATGTCAACAGTGTCCAGTCGACTGCTCTGGGCTCAGAGGCATCTGGGATTGACCAACAGTGGAAATGTGTATTGTTGTCAGACAAATCAGTATTTCAGGTCATATTTTTGGAAGGAATGGACGCTGTGTGCTCTGGACCAAAGATGAAAAGGACCATCCAGACTGTTACCAGCAACAAGTCCAAAACAGTCCAAGCCCAGACCATGACAGACCCTGTCATGGTCTGGGCTTGTGTCAGCGCCCTTGGCAAAGGTAACTCACACTTCTGTGATGGCTCCATTAATGCTGAACAATACTGAGATTTTGGAACATATGCTGCCTTCAAGACAACATCTTTTCCAGGGATGCCCGTGCTTATTTCAGTACAATGCAAAACCTCATAGAGTACACATTACCAAAGCATGGCTGTGAAGGAAAAGGCTGCGAGTGCTGGACTGGCCTGCCTGCAGTCCTGACCTGTCCCCAGTAGAGAACATGTGGCACATCTTGAAACGCAAATTGCGTCAGCGTAAAACCAGGACTGTTGTGCACCTTAAGTCTTGTTGTGAAAAGGAACGGCAACATCACAACGTGGTAAATGCTTTACTGTGCCAACTTTTTTGGAATGTGTTGCAAATTTAATTTAGTAATATAGTTAATATAGTTTCTTTGTCAGTGTCATTAGGAAAATTCACTGTTGTTACAATCAGTTAAATTCATTTAATCATGTAACCGTAAAAAATGATCCCCATGAGTTCCAAACAGTTAGATACACTACTAGTGGTCAAAAACCCAATGCAATGCACCTCCAGCCACACTGTGCTGACCAATTAAACACTGTAATATAATTCTACTATTTACCTCACTATAAGCAGATGAAGGGAAAATGGTTCCTGAAAGCTTAATACAGTTGTACAATATTGTTTCCTGGTATTATAAATCACTGTGTAGTGCTGGGTTATTTGAAAAGCCTTAGAAGTTTATATAATTTGTTGCAGTCGGTTCTTTTAACAGCGTGAGCTAGACATCCTGTCTACTCTAAACATTTCTAATACATCAAGTATCTAACCAATATCTATCTGACTAAAAATACCTAACAAATTCAAACTGGACCTCTTGGATCATCTTTTCTCTGTTACCTAAAGCAACATGCCTATGCAGTCACTAAGCCCAGAGGAGGCATGTGATTGGCTGTGAGGAGGCAGATTCAGACATGTCCGGGCATGTTCAGAGAGGGATAATCCATAAAGTGCCTCTGTTTCTCCTCTGTCTTCTTTGCAGTCAGAAATTTTGATCGAGCTTCAGTGAGGAGCCGCTCCTTCAGGAGGCTGAACCGGGCATTCAGTGTCCTGCGGAGGACCAAGAGTGGCAACGCAGTGAGCAATGAGACATCTGAGGAAAGAGACAATGCCAGGAATTCCAGTGTACCACAGGAAGGTATGGATCAAGGCCTATATATCAGTCTCTTTGCTTCTTTAGCGTATATATCTTTGCTTACAGTATATTGTGCATTTTGTGTCATGTCTTCATTGTATGATGCCACTGCTGTGTCTGCACTTAATGATTCTCACAAGAGGATTGCAGAGAGAGGGTTTAGTGTATGCATATGTTTCCAAATGTATTTGTTCCTCACTGGGAGCCCTCAGTGTAACAGTAGCATATGTTTCTTTAATAATTCATCTCTGGGCTGTATCACTAGAGGTGAATCAGAAAGAGTGGTAGCCTGAGGCAGGTTGAAAAGGAGAGGTCACCGGAGAGGAGGCTGATGACACCCTCCACCTCTTCTCCATCTACTGTTCTTCTCTTCTTTTATAACCCTCCTCTTCCAAGTCTTTACCTTTTCCACCTCCTTGTCCTCCATATCCTCTTCCTCTCTTTCCAACAGGTTTGCATCAACTTGATGGAGTAGTCCCCAGGGAGAGCAGTGTTCTTGATATGGTAGATATATAAGATGTTATGTAGCGCCGAAAAAATGCTGTAGAAATATAATGTAATATCCACAACCCAACCCTTGTGATAGTAGAAAGCATAAAGTGGAAGCTAAATTGCAGCATGATGAGAAGAAGAGAAGAAATGTGGCATTGTGTAATAATGAGGGATGATAAATGACCTGTGCTGGATTATTCTCTAAGGCCATCAGTGAGTTGAGAGAAGAGACTAAATATTCATTGCCTGCCACTAGAGAGACAAAGAGACAGAGGATAGAAAGTCAAGTAGAGATGGATTCATACAAAACAAATGGAGGAAGGAGCAGTTCCAGTAAAACAATAGCAATAAGGAAACAAATAATAGTGTAGCAATGTCCTCATGGATGGTGGAGTGGGTGAAAATAAATAAAAAAGATGGGATGAAAAAAGACAGGTTGAAAGGGTGTGTGATAGAAGATAGAAGGGTTACATAACAGCAGGAGGTCTCAGTGTTAATGTGCTCTCCACCCATGGAGCAATCTGCTGTGATAAAGACAAAATATTGACTTTGGAATGGAGAAAGTGCTACGTCAGAAGAACAAACCACTGAGGCTACAGACGCTAGAGACGCCAAGGGAGCCAGGCCACTGAGGAATAAGGAGAGGAAGACATTTTTCATAACCAAAGAAAAGGAAACAAGATGAGGAATACATCTTTTCTGTCATTTACTGGCCAAGACTGCTGGCAAAATCACAACTAAATACCCCCACCCACTTCCACATAGTCCAGTCCAGAATGCATCATGTTAAGTAGAATTCACCACTGGGGTTGAGGGGACAGGAGAATTAAAAGTATATTTTACACAATAACAGTGAGGTTTACATTAAGGGTTATATGCATTGAAATCATACCATTGGACCACATAAAGTCCCGCATCTATTGTTATAGCAGAATACTGATTATTGCTGGGTTTAATGGATGAGGTAAAAACAAGTGACAAACAAAGGGTCTTATCTTGACCAGAAAATACACATTTAACATTCCCAGAGCACACTGGTTGGAATATGTGTATTATAACTTTTCTTACATTCCCAGCCAAGTAATAACTTTGCAGAAATTTGGAATTCAGAGTTTTCCCAAGCATACTTGCTACAGATGTATGTGATTAATGACACACACATTGTACAGGACATTCAGCCAAGTAAATTTTCCTCTTTGACTTGCACAAATTTGTTTTAGTAACCTGAGGGAGTAGAGACAGCTGGGTGCAGCGCTGAAACTCTCTATCTACCACAATGTGCCACTCCTTCTCCCTCGATGTGTCGCTCTCTCCCTACACAACACTATCTTTCTCCCACTTATACTCCTGTTTTATTTGTCTGTATCTCTCTCTTGGTTTTTCTTGTCATTGTACAGTAGAACAAAACTGCTTTTTTCATCTTCTCCCTTAGTGCTGGCTCTTCCTCAGCTCCATCACCTGATCCCTGATGGTGAAGTTACCAGTATTAAGATCACACGGGTGGATCCCTCAGAACCGCTGGCCATCAGCATTGTGGGAGGCAATGAGACCCCCTTGGTTCGCATCCTCATCCAGGATATTTACAGAGAAGGTGTCATTGCTCGGGATGGACGCTTGCTACCTGGGGACATGATCCTGAAGGTATCATGGAAACTGTTGTATTGCATCTCAATAAGAAGCCATCAGAGTTATAATTTCATCTCCATCTCTGTCTCACTCTCAGGTAAATGGCATTGACATCAGCAACGTACCCCACTGCTACGCCGTGGCAACCCTCAAACAGCCATGCCAGCTCCTCCGGCTAACAGTACTCAGAGAACAGCATCATCGCTACCGCTCACACAGCCACCCACATGGGTATGGCCATGATGTTGTTGGGGGTCACCTATCTCATGGCCTACCCCACCATCCATTGAGGGACGACAGCATCCATGTGGTCCTGAATAAAAGCACTCCAGAGGAACAGCTGGGCATTAAGCTAGTGAGGCGGGCAGAGGAGCACGGAGTCCACATCTTTCACCTGCTGGAAGGAGGCCTGGCTGCACGCGATGGACAGTTGTGTGTTGGCGACCGCGTGCTGGCCATCAACGGGCATGATCTACGTTATGGAACACCAGAACATGCTGCTCTGCTTATCCAGGTTAGTCAACAGGATAAACAAACTGACTTAACTAAGGCAGCAGGTCTCAGCATATAGCTGTGACAGTGACATTAGTCCATGTTGTTACAAATCACACAACTGTGTTCCGTTCTTACCCGCTTCCCCGAGGTATTAAAAATAATTGTGGTGGTTCAGCCTAATTGTATTGTGCCGTGCTGTCGTGTCTGTGGTCACTGCAGTTAATAGTATTTAATTGTGGTGGTTCCCTGCTGGATCGGCCCATGCGGCTGACTCTGGTTCCAGGTTGATACCACTCAATGGTGTTGTGTTTGTGGTTAATGGTAGTTAATTGCAGCATGTTTGTGGTTGACTCTGCAGGGTCTCTGGGCCTGGAGTTCCTCTCTGAACAGTCTGAGTGGCTCTTTTGGGTCTCTGCGGAGCCAAGATGGCCTCTCAGAGCAGACACTTTCTGTCAGGGATTAAGGACTGGCAGCAAATAAATTAAATTAGTCCAATTAGGGCAATAATGGGCTGGACGGGCTAATTCAAGAGTCAGGGACCAGGGCAAATCTCAATGGAATGGAAGCAAAGGGAACAGGAAGCAGGCAGCCAGTCTATGTGTCTACTGGACTGCATGCATGTGTGAATGAAAGTCACTACCAGGTGGCAATGAATTGAAACTATGACTAACCATAGTTTTCCTGGGG